ACAAGATTTGGGATGCTTAATAGGGTTAACAGCTTCCGTAGTCTGGTGGAAATTTAGAAACCATTCCGGAGAATTGAATTTGCATTAAAAGCCCAATTTAGCAGCTTTAAGGGGGCTTTAATCAGTCCTTCACACACACTAACAGCCATTGGATAATGAGCTACCTCACCATTTAAAACAGCAACAGCCCATTAGGTTAGAATAACCCCAGCACATATTATTTTACCTGTTTGACAAATTGCTTTTTACGTTTCAAAACCTATAATGTGGTTGTTATGACGATAAGGTAAACTTGTAAGATGAACACTGTAGGAATAATAAAAATCTGATATGGGACTGCATGTTCCTCTGCTCCGCTAACAAATGCACCGTGATTTCAGATAGGGAGCATTCAATCGATCAAGGAAGTGAGGGAGCACGTTTTGCTATTAGCTGTGCAGCTGTAGCATCTTGAGTAGCAGCGCTGCAAATTGAATTCAGGTATTAGAGCCGGGGGGAGATGTCACATGTCAGCAGAGACACAAAGGCATTTTTCAGAAAGGTACATCTGTTTGTATCTTTGTGTTTTTCAGACACACACAGAGCCACACTCATGCATGGGCGGATTATGAGACAATGGGCCCCTGGGCACAGATGTGCAAAAGGCCCCCACCACCTCTCCTAGATAGTAGAGAGACACAGACTTTGTGGCGTCTTTGATCCTTTATGTTGTTGTTTTACATCTCTGTGTGGCTGGTAGCATTTTTTGTGGTTTTGTCTATGAGTCATTTTGTGTCTCTTGGGAGTATATTTGGTGTCTTTTTGGTTATTTTGTGTCTCTTTGTAGTTCCTTTACGTCTATTTGTAGTCATATTGTGTCTCTATGTGGTTCCTTTGCATCTCTTTGTAGTCATTTTGTGTTTCTTTGTAGTTCCTTTGTGTCTCTTTGTAGTTCCTTTGCATCTCTTTGTAGTCATTTTGTGTCTCTATGTAGTTGCTTTGTCTCTTTGTAGTTCCTTTGCATCTCTTTGTAGTCATTTTGTGTCTCTATGTAGTCGCCTTGTGTCTCTTTGTAGTTCCTTTACATCTCTTTGTAGTCATTTTGGGTCTCTATGTAGTTGCTTTGTGTCTCTTTGTAGTTCCTTTGCATCTATTTGTAGTCATTTTGTGTCTATGTAGTTGCCTTGTGTCTCTTTGTAGTTCCTTTACATCTATTTGTAGTCATTTTGTGTCTCTATGTAGTTGCCTTGTGTCTCTTTGTAGTTCCTTTGCATCTCTTTGTAGTCATTTTGGGTCTCTATGTAGTTCCTTTGCATCTCTTTTAGTCATTTTCTGTCTCTGAGGTATGTTTGTATTTTTGGTCATTCAGTGTGTCTGTCATTTCTTTGCATGTCTTTGTTGTCATTTTGTGTTTCTTTAAAGGTTGATTTGTGTCTCTTTGAGGTATATTTATGTCTTTCTAGGTCGTTTTGTTTCTCCTTCTAGTCATTTTGTATCTCTTTGTAGTTCCTTTGCATCTTGTCGTGGTCATTTTAAATCTCTTTCTGGTCGACGTGTTAATTTGAGTGGCAGTTTGCAGGTGAAGTCCAGGGGACCCCCTGACACTTTGGGCCCGTTAGTGATCCATCCATGTACTCATGCTGTCTCTGTTGTGCAGACCTGTATTTACCAAGCCATCAGCCATTTACTCACTTCTAGCACCACCTATTGATAGTATATGAAGTGCTGTAGATGCAGCACTGTACATGAGATGTGTCACTGCATAAAATCCATAAACAGTCACTTTTGTTTTATTATTTTTATGTGCGTCTCTCTCCTGGAGTCTCCAGTGAGTTCAGTCACAAATCAGTAGCGAGGTCCTATTACTCTAAAACTGCTCATCCAGCCACCTGCACTTGGTAAACAGCTTTACGGGGGGAGAGATAACTGCAGCAGATGACTGTGAAATTGAATTTTACAACAGCAGATCCCCTTGTCTTCATGGAGAATCACGAACAAGAGCATTTGCCCGAATAAAGTTCATATCTGACTCACGCAGAGAACTGAACATGAAAGATGGACAGAGCTTTTCAGAGCGACTCCAGCTGCACTGCACATATTGCAACACTTAACTTTAATGGCACCCCATAACCAGTCCAGCTTGCTCAATAGTTTCAGCTAAGTCAACTTCAGCGTGTGTTGCTACTCTTTAAATGTCTTTATTATTTTATACAGACCCAGATGTGTGCTGCCGTATGTCTCTGGTAGCTGGAAATGAAGACGTAAAGGCTGACCTCTGGCTCTGACAGCACACTCCTATTTATTATGTAATGGAAAAGGTTAAGCCACACCCTCGTGCCTGTCTGAGCCAGGTGTGTGGCTTGCTAGCATGAGAACTCTAATGTGAGATATTTCAGTGTGATTTCAAACTGTGCAGTTGCTCCAAACGTTAAGCACAGCTAACGTAAGTAGTAGATTGCGTGACAGGATCACATCATCTGACAATCTTGAAACAGCTTGGGGTCAAAGGAAATGGCTTTTCCACACTGGCAACTCTGGACCACAATCACGTTCATTCACATCACTCTCAATTCCTCTGATTTGCCAAGGGTGTGCTGTGCAGCGGGATAAGCACCACTGTTAGTTCTTAGGAGTAAATTGAGCGTCTTGTTCATGAACATGACAATTGCGATGCCCTGGCAGAGAGAAAGAGTGACATTTTGGGTCATAGCATGTACCTATGAATAAAACATGGAGTATTAGCTTGATTAATATCGAGGAATAAGAACAAGCTGTGGATCGTCTGATGACCTTCCCTTGAGTGATGGGTCTCAATTACACGACTCTGTGTGTGCGCAAGTGGGTGGATCTGGGAGACAGGGAAGGAGACAGAAGCTGTGTGTGCAAGTGTGTATGTTTGTGTTTTTGCACTCATGCAGTGTTTTCCCATGGCAATTGGCCTCAGCGCCACACAATACAGGAGTGTTATGGTCCAAAACCCCCAAAAAAGATACAAAAGCACAAAGAGGCTGCATGAGTGTGCATCTCCCCCTCTCATCCACTTGTCTGTCATTTGGAGCGTGAAGCTTTAAAAGCCGTCCTTCAAACACTTGAGGACCATTGATATTTCGCACACAGTTTTTGAATTTGATGCACAGTGTCCCTCTAAAGGCCTGACTTTCCTCCTTCATCTTTTCACGCAGACCTCTCTCAGACCTCTTGTCCCTTCAAACATGAAGCAAATTTGCCGTTCGCTGGCTCAGCCGCTCACCCGTCTCAGACCAGACCGACAGACAGCATGTGGGATGATGAATGGCAAACTTATCTCAGAGACTCAGAAAAGCAGCCAGACACAATTCCAACCCAGCCTAAAGTCACTGCAGGGCTGTGTACGTATCTCAGCCTGCCTGTCGGCACAAATCTCTTCATTGCTTTCTTCCTCATTCTCTGCTGTTTCTGTCTCTCTCTCTTCCTTTGACAACCTCACTGTGTCTGATGCTATTCTTGTCTGCACCGCACAGTGTATCAGTACGTGCTGAGAAGCCCTCGTTCCTCACAGTCATATCAGCTTCACTCACCATTGCCTCTAATAAACCACCCAGATGACACATGCCATTACTCCAAACATGGTTACGTAAACACAAAGGAATCTCCTACAAGAAGAATCCCAACTTAGCCGCAGACATCTCCAAGGCATGCACTTCAGCTTTCTGCTCTGTTTCTGCCACTACTGGAGACTGAATTGAGGCTCGCAGCATTCGGCGATGATTTTGGCTTATTTTGTTTCCGGCTTGCGGGCCGGTGGGTCCATGAAGGAATGCTTATTTTCCTTCTCCACAAATTTCCTAATATAATCAATATGAGGGCGAATGCATGAGCGGTGGTTTACAGCGGTGTCAAAAATTCTCACGGAGAGAGAAGAAGAGAGAAGAAGTCCTGGGTGGATTTGGCTTGTGAAAATATATAACTCATGCAAAGTCAACAGTTCCGTCTGAGAGCAAGGCAGAAAGCAGCTCACCCTCTGCACAGATGGCGTGTCCTTTAAGTGTGGCGTTTTGATTAATACAGCGAGTGCAGAAAGGTTGCAGGCACTGACCTTTAATCTGTGTATGCATGTCTACCTTTGTGCAGTTGCTCTTTTTCGTGTGTGTCTCGGTGTGTATTTATTAGCTTGTAAAATTGTGTTTATTGCTGGGAACGTAACAGATGCCTCTCCATTTTTGTTCTGTTAATTTCTTTGAGGAGAAGCAGGAGCCTTTGTGGATACAAAATAATCATGCGTGTGTGTCCTGTTTGTGAATGCGTAAATCGTGAGTGTGTGCATGTGTGACGTAAAGGTCTCATCTGTAACACACCCTTTCACTTCTCTTTGGTTGCACAGAAGAGTAGAAGAAGCCAGGCTGCCTTATGTGCGCAGTTTGCTCTCCACTGTTGAAAATCTCTATACATTGGCATTGATTCCCAAGTAAGTATTCTGCACAAGTTGTTTATGGTATTCCTGAGTATTAATGTATTTTAAATCCCCTTTGGATCCCTGCATTCCCCAGAATTCCTTTAGGTGAAGCCCCAAAACCACTGAATAACATTTGCTATGTGCATAATGCATGCACCCATTTCAATTCTAAATATACAGAGGACTCTTCTCAGCCTTTATTTGAGTTTTTCAGCCATAAACCAGCATAGACAACTGTACAGCACATGAGTATGAGTCACATTCTGCAGTTTCTCCCTTGCTTAAAATAATCTGGATTTAAGCTGCTGGTTAGATTTAACACCTCTTCTAAAGGCTGCATAATAATAATCCTTTTACGGCATAAACACTGGAAAATGGAAATCCAATTCACACTGCGTTAACAGTCACGGTCATCCCGTGCAAAGAGAAGCGGATTCTCCTCCATCAGTCCTCAAAATGTGACACAAAATGAGGCAAATTGGGATTTAAGCTGATTGACAGACATGCAGAAAATGTGATCTCCTTGGCTGACTCATCTTCAGCAGTTACTTACAGAAGTTAACGATCAAACCCGCAGTCAGTGACTTACCTTACTTCAGATTTTACAAACAGCAGCCCCAGTGAAAGAAACAGATGCTGAGGAGGTTCACAGAAGCCCGGTGTCGTCCTTCCTCGGACTCGCAGCTTCTGCGCTCCTATTTAACGCAGCGTCAATAAAAAACTTTTTTTTTGCATCCACGTAGATAAAACCCATAATAAAAAAAATCTATCAAAAGCTACTGCTGCCGCGGCTGTGCCCAGGTGTCTGTCGTTTTTATGAGATGAATTAATGACCGGCGGAGCGCGCGGTGAGGAGCGCTGGGCAGGGCGCCGGTCTGAAGCCGTTATGAGCGGTGACAGTTGACTGCCCGGTAATCCAAGTGCGTCTAACTGCCTCCCGTTTGCGCGGACGAGCGTGAGGTGGTGGAGCTCCTCCTCGCCTTATCTCTGTGCGTGTGTTGCAGACACACACAGCTAAGGGAAAGCAGCCTCTCCACAGCCTGTGTGCGCACGGTTTGGACACTCATCCGGACTCCTGTATTCAAACTAACACTATAATGACAATAGTGATTAATGTGGGCTGTCATGTGACACAGCTCAGTTTGACTTTCAAATGACTTTGCTGTTATTTTCTAATCTCCTCTCACAGCTGATATTCGAGTGACCTCTTTATATAAATATATGGTTATCTCTGATATACAGTAGAGATAATGGTAAAAACGATTTGTGACAGATCACATAGTTAATTGTTTCTTTATCAAACGGATTATCTAACCACCACAGGCTTATCAAACCTCCCCTTACACCTTATAGTCCAGTAGTCACAATGTCAGGTCATGCACAACAGATTGTCAGTTGCCTTATTGCTGTCTCTCTACATATAACCTCAAAGACCCCCAGCAGACACATTTTTTCCCCACTAAAAAGTTACATTTTATTGTTAAATTTCTTACAATTCCATTCACTCATTTCCCCTGATTGAAATAAAATGCAGTATTTAAAAATATTTGAATATTTTTCATTTTATTCTTGCTGGACACAATATGTCTCCCACCTCACCAAAAAATCTCCACATCACACTTGTTTAAGCTGCATATTGGACCATGATTGGCTTCCGGTTGTGATGTAACAAACTCATGCTTGTAGGTAGATGTGTGAAAGCCAGATTTAAAGGTCCTCTGTGGGGATTTAAACAATCAACTGATCACCAGGTGGCAGTAACATGCCCAAATATACAGCAATGCAGCACTAAAGACAGGACAGAAGAAGGCTGCAAGCTAATAAACATGGATGTAAGCAAGCAATGCTGTTGAGGAGGGGAATGCACTCAACACACTTCATAGACCTCGCATTTTGGTGAGTAATACTAATTGTAAACATAACTTTTGTTTGTTTAAAAGCAAACTCCACAGGACACCTTTTAAGCCTGGTATACATTTTTGCAATTTTGGGCTGTCTGAGATGAAAGATGGTGAAAGAAAAGTGGCGATATTTTTGGGATCAAAGTTTGACAGTGTCAGAAATTTGGGATGATCATCTCACCAAGTGACTGCTGTTATGACCTACATCTACCAGCCAGCCAATAGAAGTGCAGTATGAAATGACGCACTTGTGCTAAACCCAAACAAACAGTCAAATAGCAGCTTCCCATGGAGGCACAACATGCTAAAAGAAATGTGCGGGATTCCAGCAAGGAGGAAAACCTTGTCGAGCATTGCCTGTATGATGTGTCCTCCGGCTCTTCCCATGATCACATCAAGAAGGACAAAGCACGGAAGGAAATAGTGGTCGAGTTGCAGCTGCCAGATGAGCAACCTAGCAGCTAGCAAACACATACAGACACACCACAGTATACCGCAGCTTGAGAAGTAATAACCCATGCAGCATCCTTGCGCACTCCATATGGGAAGCTACTGTATCGTATGTTGTAGCCAGCGATTCAGTAGGTGCTGTCAGCTTGAACTAAACTTATAAGACCGCAGCAGCACTAACCACTATTTTTTATGTCAAGATATATTTGAGTAACCACTAGGCCTAGAACAAAGTCACCTCCCTGTGTGTGTGTGTTGTAATCATAGCTACTGGAACAGTAAATGGACTTGCATTTTGTATATTGCCTTTCTAGTCTTCCAGCCACTTAAATTGCTTTTTATACTATATCACATTCACCCATTCACACACACACACACACACACACACACACACACATTCATACACTGGTGGCCGAGGCTACCATACAAGGTCCCATCTGCCACCTGCTGTTAACCGATCACTTGCACAGAGCAACTGGGGGTTCAGTATCTTGCAGTATCTTGGGGTGTCCCAGACTCTGAAATAAAAGAGATTCTTTGAATGGCACATACAGCTTCTTTAAGTTGAACACGGAGATAATTCTTCAGCAGGTGGATGTGAAAACAGTTTTAGTGTCAAACTTTGTACAGTGAAGATCAAAGATCAAGTGAAGGACCAATAAGCAGAGCACATTTTTCTTTAAAACCTGACCTCAACCAAAGAGTGACCCTAAACAGGATGCTGAATATGTTGACTTTATAGTGGCATTATAATCAACAGTGGGGCCTCTAAAAATCATCATGACCATAATACAGGCATGATGGAAACAGAAGTTGTAACACAAATATTTCTCAAATGTGACTATCATTGAAAACTGAGAATTGACAGGAGCTCAAACTCATCGTGCTGGGTGTCATTACTGCTGTTTATTCATGTCAGCATGGGAATTAAACACCCGGGCTCTTTATTTATTCAACAAAGCTTCAGACCAAAATTTCCACTGGACCACTGATGAGTTGTTTCCAGATGCTGTCCAATAAAGAATTATCATCTTTACAGGTTTTTCTGCACATTTGAAATGGAATTGTCGTTTAAGTCTTAAATTGAGGATTTTATTATTGATCTGTCTTTTTTAAGACGTGTTGTTGTATGATGACGCAAATAAAAAAATGACGATCACTGAGAGCATAGAGCGCTCACCTAGCAGGTGATTTCCTTATTAAAGCCCCTGTAATTTGATGCTTGGTAGTCAGACTTGCCATCTAGATAGCTGGTGGAGCATAAATCAGAAGGCTGTTCTCATGCTGTGTTTGTACGTATACAGACAAAATGTAATGCACCAGAATTCATGTATAACTCACGTAATTATGAATGCTGAGATTGCGTGACAAATGCACTAACAGGAGTACAAAAGGAGTACAAAAGGAAGCGGTATGAAAAGTGAAAGTCCATGTAAGGAGTCAGAATGGAGTGATTGGGTCAAACAAACACACGACATTTTCACAAGAGACCAGTGTTCGTGTCCCGTATGAAACCAAGTGAACTTTGAGTTATTTTAAGGTACTTCGTCACGTCATTGTGTTACATTATGTACGTAAGTTTATGATGAGTTCGTATGTCATGATGCTCAACCATGATTGTTTTCCTAAACCTAACTAATGTTAATTTACGCTAGGTAAAAAACTTAAAAAAATTAAATATGTAACATGACAACGTCCACTCATGATTCTTTTTCTAAACCTAACCTACAAACTTACTGTGAAGTACAGAACTTTGCATTAATTACATGACATTACAACGCCCAACCATGTTACTTTTCCTAAACCTATGTAACTTTACTCCCCTAAATCTATCCTACATAACTTAACGTAAAGTATGTAACATGATGACGTTCAACCAGGATTCTTTTCCTAAACCTAGTCTACGTAACTTTACATTATTTTACACCCAACCATGATTCTTTTCCTTTTATCGAATCTACAAACTTTACATAAAGTACGGAACTTTACATTCAATACATTACGATGCCCAACCATGATTCTTTTCTTAAACCTTACATACAAATTTTACGAAAAGTACGGAACTTTTCATTCAGTACATAACTTGACAATGCCCAACTATGATTCTTTTCCTAAACCTAACCTAAATAACTTTACTCTCCTGAACCTAACTCATGTAGCTTTATGTTAAGTACGCACTCTACCTTAAGTACGTAATGTGACAATGCCAACCACGATTCTTTTCCTAAATCTAACATACGAATTTTACTAAATGTACAGAACTTTATATTCAGTACATAATGTGACAACACCCAACCATGATTCTTTTCCTTATATTGGACCTACGAACTTTATGAAAAGTACGGAACTTTACATTCAGTACATAACGTGACAACGCCAAATATGATTCTTTTCCTAAACTTAACCCAAATAACTTTACTCTCCTTGACCTAACTCACAAGTGTGTAATGTGACAATGGCAACCACGATTTTTTTCCTCAACCTAACATACAAACTTTATGAAAAGTACAGAACTTTACATTCAGTACATGACAGTGCCCAACAATGATTCTTTTCCTAAACCTAACCCAAATAATCTTACTCTCCTTAACCTAACTCACATAGCTTTATCAAAGTACGGACTTTACCTTAAGTACGTAATGTGACAATGCCAACCACAATTCTTCTCCTAAATCTAACATACAAACTTTACGAAAAGTACGGAACTTTTCATTCAATACATAACGTGACAATGCCCAACTATGATTAGTTTCCTAAACCTAACCCAAATAACTTTACTCTCCTTAACCTAACTCATGTAGCTTTATGTTAAGTACAGACTTTACATTAAGTACGTAATGTGACAACACCAACTATGATTCTTTTCCTAAACGTAACCCAAATAACTTTACTTTCCTAAATCTAACCTACATAACTTAACACTAAGTGCACAACATGACAACGCTCAACCAGGATTTTTTTCCAAAACCTAGCCTATGTAACTTTACATTAAGTGCGAAACTTTACATTAAGTCTGTAGCATGACACCACCCAACCGTGATTCTTTTCCTTATATCGAACCTATGAACTTTACGTAAAGTATGGAACTTTATATTCAACACATGACAATGCCCAACCATGATTCTTTTCCTAAACCTGACATACAAATGTTACGAAAAGTGCGTAACATGACTACACTCAACCAGGATTCTTTTCCGAAACCTAGCCTATGTAACTTTACCCCCCTGCTACACATCTGTGGGAACCAACACATTCGGGAGTACTTAAAAAAACAGGAAGTGTCCCTAATTTTTGTCATTTTGTTTCACAACCCTCTCTCTAAACTTTATTACAACACAATCAGCTGTTTGTTTGCAGTTCCCTCCATCCCCAAAATGTACCACTCATTTGCCCTCATCTCACGCATATGCACACACAAACACACACACACAAGTTAGTGGCGGACATGTTGCTGCATACTTATAACACATTATAACAGTGAAAGCCATGATGAGGCTGTCATTGCTAAAGCCAGGAGATCGGCAAACAAGCAGCGCTGCCTTCAAACCAGCAAAGAAGATAGAACAACCACCCGGGAGGAGGAGAGGAGCGGACAAACACAAT